TGCAGCTAGTTGGAGACAGAGTAGAAGTTGCAGAGAACAGGACAATATGGAAGTCCCATCATGGAAGATAGTGTGGCAACCCCTAAAAAAAAGGGACAAAGCCAAAAGGAAAAGTAGATTGATCACATTAAAATACAATACCAATAAGTTCCTGAACAAATCTCTTGTGTTTTTTTTTTCAGAATATTATTACTATAGTATGTTGCTTTTGATTGTAACTTGTTTATTCATGATTAGTCATGATAAATTACGATCTTTATTAGTCGTCAGTGAATACAGAAATGATTAGAAGACGTGTTAAATTTCAGAATATAAATATGTATTTATTAGATAATTGAAAGATAAAGACAACAACCTATCTTAGAGTATCTATGAATGTGTGTGTTTGCACGTGTGTGTACAATATTATTAAGTAGCTCTTATTTACATGAAATGCACATATGGTCCTTTGTCTTTAGGTCCTAATAGAAAGATGTTCTTATTACTTACTGTACATATTTATAGATAGAATATATTATATACTGCAAACTTGCAGCAGCTATTCATTCATACCAAATTAGCACCTGTCTGAAGATCCTGAAAGGTCTTCATCCGTATCAGGTTTCAGTTCAGAACTTCAGTTCAGAAGGAATTGTTTTAAAAGGTAGGAATAGTTTTGTCTTTTAGTGGAATTAAAATCCTTGTGCTCATAGTGGCTCATACATGCTGGTGGGTTCAGTTGAGGGCTTTGAGATGGCAGGGTTGTGGATAGGTGATCCAGGCCCCTGAGGGACCACACTGTCCCCTGGAGGGGCAACAGCAGAGTCCGTGCTGATCCTTTCTACTATACTGGACAAACAGTCCAAACTAGAAATGAGGGATGGTCTGGTACTTTTAGAATCTGTGAGAAATGAAAAAAATAAAACAGTTAAGAGTCATTTGAAACTATAGATGGGGAAATAAATGAATTATAGTTGTCATAGAAAACAGGTCACTGTGAAACATACCGTCTGTTGTTTTGCCATAGTAGGAACTCTCACGCTTTTCACTCTTAGTTAAACAGGGAGACATGAAATCCATCTGCAACAAAAGTTCAGTCAGTCAGTCAATAAACTAGTGGTCCATCATGTTAGTGACAACAAAATATGGCAATATAGCAATATGTTGACACGTGGTGTATTTACAAATATCAAAAATCATAATCCAAGTGCTTTTTAAATATCTAACACAACAAATGCCCATTTTGAAGATTCCATTCATCAAAATGAACTACTGTAGCCAGAAATAAATGGCCCTAGACACATTCTTTACATTTCATAAGCCAGCATAAAGGCTTCAGCTGTCCCTGAACTCACCATGGCATCAGAGCAGTTGGAGTGGGGGCTGGAGGCAGCTGAGTCGCCCCTGTAGTGATCCAGTGGTGGGAAGAAGCTGTCGTCCCTGTTGCTCCTCAGCAGCGCCTGCAGCGATTCGATGTAGTTGATGGCATTGCGCAGGATTTCCACCTTGGGCAGCCGCTGGTTGGGGTTGGAGGCTGTGCATCGTTTCAGGGTCTCAAAAGCGTCGTTGACTTTGCTCAGTCTGCGCCTTTCTCTCATGGTCGCTGCTTTCCTTCTGTCTGCATTTGTGGTCTTTCTCTTGCAGGCCTTGCAGGCCCACAGCAGACAGTGTCCTTTCTGATGGAGGCCCTCAGGGGCCCTCACATGCTCGTCTTCAGGCACGTGGTGATTGTGTTGATGTTGATGATGTTGATGGTCGTCTGGCTTGAGGAAGCCCGCGTGCAGCAGCCGAGCATCTAGGTCATCAAAAAAGTTCAGGTCACTGGAATTAAAGCAGGGGTCATCATAAAGGTCATCGGGTGAGGAAAGAGGGAAAGGAAGGTCTGACAGATCCATGATCCGCTGCAGAGAAAAGTTTCCAAAAAAAAATCCTAATTAAACTAACCAAAAATGAACACCGCTCCAGACAAAAATCTGTTTGTCAGACTAGATATGATGTGTAAACAGAGAGAGAGAAGGAGCTCTGCAGTGAAGTCAGCTGATCAAATGAAAATAAATGAGGGAAAAGTGTGAACAGTCTAAAAAGAAGTGACTGAACTTTTAAAGGAACAGTCTGTGTAACTTCAACTCCCCTGGCTTTTGGTTGGCCTTTTATAAAGCAGTCCACATGTAGGCGGGGTTGTGGTTCAAGTGACCAATGGGCTGAGAGGTGTGTGTGTGTGTGTGTTTGTGTGTCAGACAGAGGGAAAAAATACTATGACAGTGACAGTGCTGGGGTCAACGTAGGTGAAATTTATAATGAGAAACATGTAAGAAGGAATAAAAGGCTGATAAACTGACCTAGCAATAATCCATAACAACAAATATCTTTTCTATCAACTTTTCTAAACTTTTACAATGACAAAAAAATAATTTAACTATTCAGAAATTTTTGTTTCAGTTTCCTTTAGTTCAAGATGTTATGTCAAAATAAAATGTTGCATTTTTGTACTAATTTCTTTATTAGTTTTTTGGTTTTTTTTGCATAGTCTCTTGTCAAAAATGCCGTGTCGTACCCTCTCAGTTCACATGGAGACAACATTAATGCACACAGTTGACTGTATGCAGTACACTGTGTACCTGAGAGGTTAAGTTTCAGGATGATGATGATCAGTCCAGCAACAGAGAGACTGTAGCTCAGCTGTATCTGCAGCATTAGACGATACACAGTATCTACTGACACACTAGTAGAGTGATACTTACTACACCAAATTTGTTAGTAGCAAAAAACTGTTAACATTAATTGTAAAGCCTCTGAAACAAACAGAAATCAGACCTCACAAATGACACTGTATTTTTTTTAATTTAATTTGACCTCATATGTAATTTATATTGATATTTTCAGCAGCCTGTGATCAAATCTATTAAATGTTTTCATTATCACTTTGTGGAAAGGGATTTTACCTATGTTAGCTGTAAAGACTGAACTCCCTCTTCACTGTTCGGTACTTAAGTCCGAGGTCCTGCTGAGAAGGTCACAAAGTCGTCAGGTTCCCTGGTCTAAAGTAGACGGGTTTTAGGGTTTTAGGGTCATCACTGGACAACAGTTTAAGACGATTTGTCCAAACAGGTGAAATGATCCCATGCTCACATGGAAACTGATTAGTTTTAAGGTTGTCTTTGAAGTGATCACCTGTTATTATTTGTTTTTTTCTATTTTTGATCACAGTAAAAAAATAATTTATACTGACTTATTTGTTAGTATTGTGAGTAGAAAACTACATCATTAAAACCCTAAAAAATGCAAAATATGTGCCGAAATATTTATTTTTATATATAAATAATAGATAAGAATAATAAATAAATACATTTCATTTATAAATATAATTAACTTCACTTAAAACATTTTGCCATTGAATGAATGTTTTAATACTATGTTGTTTTTTAAAAGTAAACTAATTTTCTTGTATTCAGACATGTTTGAAATGTTGCGTTCATTTACTGTTTTGCCAACGTGAGATTCTTCACAGTTTGAAGGTTTTAAGTGGGATGGAATGACTCAGATCGCAGACTCTTCACAGCTTAATGGAAAAGCACAGTGTTAAATTTAGCAGCTCATGAAATCTAAGATGAGTGCCCTTCTTACTTTGGCATAGCCCACACCCACCCGCCCCTCACCCACCACTCACTCACCCATGACCCCCCTAACACCAGCTCTCACACTACAACCACGTTTTGGGCCTCATTCAAAAGAAGAGCGAGAACGTGAACCTGATAGCAACAGAATATGCGACGCTAACGTCACTCTGAGAATGTTTTCGTTGCTTTACCTTCATTATCAGTACACGTAATGTACTTCACGTTATTTACTTAGCTTTACTCAATTATGAAAGTGTTGTGTTTGATTTGTTTATCTAAGTAGATTCTACCGTAGGCACGCTGTGCTGCTGTCACTACGTTCTCTCCATTCTTGTTAGATCACAGGAACAATATCCACTCATTACTGGTGTGAACGTAACATCACTCCTCTCAGCTGTGACAGTGATGGGATTGAACTGCTAATGTCCAGGTTTACTGTCCTCAGGATAGACTAGAAAAGTGCTGTTAAGTAATTAATGTGTTTTTTCCTCAGACTTACATGGGAAAAAAAACAAAAACTGGTGAATTCAATATTCACAGGTTTCGTAAGCAGTCTTCTCAAAGGTTCTTGTACAATATTGGTTTTTCCCAAACTCTAGGTCAGGAGGAGCAGAGAAACTGCAGGAACATTTGTGCAGTAACAAATTAAATGCACATTACATTTTTCAAATTCTTCAATATATTTTTTCTGTCCATAAAACATATATGTTTTTATATATGTTTTATTACATTTCAAATCTCTGTTAAATACGACAACCCAAAACTTACATTTACATTTTTTAATACTGGTGATTAGTACTTTTCTACTCTTTTATCTGTTCCTTTCTAATTAGGTTCTAAGCCAAGACGGCAGTTCCAGTAGGTGGCAGTAGTGCAACTCAGGGTGCCCCAAAAGAAACTCATTTTTAAACTTTTCAAAAATTGATTTTTAATATTATTAAAATCCTATTTTATCTTGTTGTAAAAATACGATCCTACTTTGTTTAATCCTTGTCAGATATGTGGTTTATGTATCAAAGTGCAGTATAACTGAAGTTGTTGAGTGAAACCAATCACTATTTCCTTTCCTAGTAATTCTTTCTTAGTAGGTAATTCTACTAAACATCTTTCAAAGAGTCAATGGGAATATTTTTGTTTAGTTTTGTGAAAAAAAAAAAAGCTGTAATATTAAACCTACCATGGCCCATGGCCTAACGTTAACATAGATATTATCACTGAGTCACCCACTGAGGTGAAGTTTTAATACTGTGTGAGTACAGTTTCATCTTTTTTTGGATGATTCTCTCTGTACTCCTCCCTCATTTCTCAAAATCATTTCCCACAAATGCATGAGTGTTCACACTTCCTTCAGCCTTCTTTACAACACCAGCAGTAAAACACAGTCATTTAATGTCCTAGAAAAATCTAGGCATGACTAAATGTTAGAAGTCTTTCATTTACTGCAGGGTAGAGAACTTTTATATAAAATATCGAACAGTGTGTACCTTGGAAGAAACACTGACGTGGTTAGTCAGTCAGCAGCAATGTCAGTATCACTGGAGTGTGACTAAAGCCCCTCATCCTAATTTTCCTGTTTCTACTGAACGTTTCCCTTCTCATAAGGAAAGCTGCCCTCTGACCATAGACAGATGCCAGATCAGTTTATAGTCGGGTACCAGGAACTGATATTTTTAAGTGTTCTAAGCTCAAGCAGATGGGAAAGCATGTACGGCAGATGTAAATGTGTAGTGTTTCTTTTGTGGTTTGTAATGGTAAAATATAAATCTATGATCATTTCTTTCTATTTGTTTTAACATGTGAATAATAAATAGTAATAATAATTATAATACTGTATTTTTGTATATTTTTTTAGTTTGCTGTTCCACTGATGCTGCACAAAGAAACTAACTATTATAGCAATAGTTATAATACATATATTATGTTGGGTTTTTTTTATCTCATCTTTTCTTCATCTAATTATTCCTAAAATACAGCAAATAAAATAAAGAATGTGATTTGTCCCACTGTAGCACAAATCTAAAGATATTTTGGAAAATTCAATAAATTTAACCATCCTCTGCATTAACTTTGTGCTCCCCATAGAGCCCCCTCCCCCCCCCCCCCCCCCCTCCCCCCCCCCCCCCCTCCCCCCCCCCCCCCCCTCCCCCCCCCCCCCCCAATTTGGGAGTCACTGGCTTGTATCTTTTTCTTGTCTTGTCTTATATTTTAATTATAAAATAGTGTTTCTGTTTCTCAATATTCTCAATTTCTGTTTCACAAATAAAAAACAATAGACTATAAATCCATCATATAAATCCAATACAGCCTTTACCCAGTAATAACCCTTTAACCAACCATTGATTTAACGGCTGCTCAGATGTTGTCTTTAGGTCTTTCTCAGTCAATTGCTCTGTTGTTTGTCCACTAAGTAAAAGAAAACACAGAGTAAATCTCAGTGACCCGTCACCTGTCGTCGACGACATCATCAAAGCTCAAACGAGGAAACCATCAAACCTGGGCCTGATCTGTTCTGCTGTGAGCAGCCGGACAAGTCGGGACTCGCAGGGAAGAGCCACAGTCTGCTGGACCTGGATGTGGATTCCAGATGGATCAGGGCTCAGGGGGAGTCCCTAAACACAAACATACCCACTATTACTGCCCCTCCTCTGGTTAATGACTCATGTCCATGACTTTGTCATAATTGTCAGCCTTAAAGCAGTTTATTTAAAGAAAGAATTATTATTTGAAAGAATTAAAATGGCTTTTCCATCAAGACTGTTGTTTAGTGTCCTAAAGTTGAGCGATAGATTACATTATTACTATTATATCATAAAATCTGTTTCTTATTGTATTATGCATTTATATTAAATAATAAATAAAGATATAGTATATCAAATTTAAATATAATAGATGAAATATTACCTTTTGTCCAAAAACGCTGATCAACACCGTTCTCCTCCATCTCAGTGTGTTAAAGTGGTTGATCCAGACACCTTTAAAAAAACAGAAACACAAAGTTCATAAAGTAAAGTGAAACAACCTTTTTCCAAATGTAATTTGTGTAAAACTAATAACAACCAAACAGACCGAGTAGAAAACATTAGCCATCGTCACTCACATCAAATGAGAGCAGATTAAACAGCCGCGTCTGGAGCAGCTGCTGAGTGTCGTATAGTGATGTCATGAAAACGTGGAGGTGAACTCAGACAGGTGTAATGCTCCTGTGTGACACTGAGCCCCTTAACCGTGACGTACTACTTCCTGTTGCATGGCAAGGTGATTGACCCGTGACCTGCTCTGATGAGCACGACTAACTGGCCTGAAAGGATGTGACTGGCCTGCTGTGATATATAAATATAGGTATATTTACTTTGACTGGCCGTCACTTCTGTTTGTTTCTACATTTATGTTAAAATTAACTCTTATTTTAAAAGCTTGTTTGCATGATTATCATGCAAAATTAAAGTCATGGTTGCTGTTGCCTTTGGTATCAGTTGACACTCAGGATACCTGAACATTTCCACATAAAAACAGAAACATATGAAGCTGCCTATTATTTAATTAGATTATCATTAAATGCAAAATAACCACAGCTCTAAGTTTGTTTCCTAAACTACTTCTTAGTATGTTCAATGTACGGAAGATAAAAAATAGCGACAGTATGTGGGTCAACATAGTAGACATTGTGCCAATAGGTGGGCTTTAAATGCTGCAGGGCTGCTGTAAATCCCCGGGGCCTTTAAGTCCACTGCAGTAGCCACGATGTTGTTGCTACACTGTAAATATACACAGAGAACGGGAGAGCAGCACATAGTCATGTGCGACAGCTCAGTGAAATGTCATACAAAACATAGTTCCTGAAAACCCTGGTGTTTCTCTTACTGTGATGAAGCAACAGATGAGTGGTGATTTACTAGAAGTGGTGAAAAACAACAGAAATGTTTTTTACAGAAATACATGTACAGACACTTATTTTATACGCCCCCACCCCCCGCGTCCCTCCCCCAGGCACTGCAGGGAAATCTGCCACACTCATCACTTTTATTAAATTGGCATAACTAATTGGTTTGAATCATTTTTACTTATTTTTACTACTTTTTATCTTATTTCATGCATCTCTCCTCTGTGCGTTAATTTAATTAAAGTTGCACTGTGTAAGGATTTTAATAAAATATACCACACAATCATTTAAACACTTTCACAGCCTTGTGAAAGATCTTGAAGTCAACAGGCCTCTTGGTTAAATAGAGTTAAAATAAATAAACTGTTTAAATAATCGTTCTGATTAGGTTCTCTCTTTGACATAAATACATGTTTAGAGTATGAACATAGTAACTACCTAGGTTAAATGTATCATCATTTTTCATGGTTCAACCCAACACTTGTGATATGAAATGACTTTTCTTTGGCTGTTAACCCTCTCTGTTCTCACCACTGCTCCCTGTATTTAGGTCTTGAGAACAAATCAGTTCTTTGCTGCTCAGAACTTCAGGGGTTAAAACAATTTGACCTGCTCTCTGTATCAGCTATGACAAAAAGAACTCTGCTCACTTCCTGAAGAGGGGACAAATGTGCAGCTCTGAGCGTCATGGTCTGTTTTTTTAACTCCTTCTCCTCCTGGATGTAAATCAGAGCTAGAGAACTGTCCTGTTCAAAGACATGGTGACAAAAGGGACAGCCACTGAAGTGGTGACAGAGCTGATGTGTTTTATGAGCTTCTGACCTGAACAGGAAGGAAGTGAGGTCAAAAAAATGGACTCAGCAACTCATCACTGTCGAGATCTGGTCTCTGTATTTTTCTCTTCATTGTGGTTTTTTTAGGGGGTTGAGCGGGGTTATTTAGTGATAATGAAAACATAAATCACATTTAAAGTGACAAATGACTTGAATGTAGATTGTCGTCTGTTGTTCTTAGATAATGGTGATCCAAATGTTTTTTTTACTAAGTTAAAACTTAAATGAACAGGAAGCAGATTTTCTACTGAACAGATGTAAATCTTTCCCTTCATCTAAATCTTTTCCTCTGGACAAAAACACATGATCTTACCTCCCAATAAAATGAAACAGAAAAAAACGCAAAACTGCAGCTGAATTGTTGCGTAATATTTTAACTGGAGTTTCTTTAAAATATTTAACAAAAGCAAATCCCACAGGCAACTATTGAGAAAGTGTAGTGGGTTTATGTTAATGCTGTGTGCAGAGATTCGACCCTCTGTCCAGATTTTCTCTTTTTCCTTCTCCTTGGCCATAGACCTCAGCAAATCTTAATCAATAACATGAACAAATGTTGCAGGATCACTGGTCAATATTTGACAAACTACAGACTCTTACTTTGACTTTTTGTACTTCCTGTATAATTGCTGTTGAACAAAAAAAAATCAAGAGACACCTGTAGTTTTCATTGTGAGGGTAGGGGGCAGGGTGCAGCTGTTGTAGCAGGATTACCAGGGCAAGCTGATCTCTTTATAGCCCTGACCCTCCCCCACCCCCACCCTCATAACACAACAAATAACTACACTTTCACTGTTTGCCCAGATATTGGATGTGGGGAAATGTTTTCGGTTCTAGTAATGGGAACGGAACACATTTTTAAAAAAAGTAAATAATGAAGTTATTTAAATTTGTCAAAGGAAGTACTTTGTGCTGAATTGAATGAATGTTGTATCTGTCCCCATTCCATTTCTATTTTTAGTCATTTAAATGTTTATGATAAAAAAAGAGTCTCAGGAGAACTCAAGGAACCTGTTATTTCTCCTAAAAATGTATAAACACTAAACAATAAGGGTCATTTTACCTTAGTGTACAAATAAAATCCAAAAAAAGAAGCTAACATTTAGCAGTTAGTAGGATCAATTGACAGTAGTTTAAGAGAGAGCTTTATTATTATTATTATTATTATTATTATTATTATTATTATTATTATTATTATTATTATTATTATTATTATTATTATTATTATTATTATTATTATTATTATTATTATTATTATTATTATTATTATTATTATTATTATTATTATTATTATTA